AGAGCAAAATATTCACCGATGAACAAAAGCGATACAAACTAAAAAAAAGAGGGACGTTTTTATAGATGTTTGGTCAACAAACATTTAATTTTGCAATGTAAGGTAAAAATAGAACCTTGTGAAATTTGTCGGAGTTTACAGCATAATTCATTATTCTGCCCCACAACAAGGAATAAACATACATTGGAAATTAAACTGTCAGTAAAGGTCGAACTTATTCAAAGTTCTGATAAACAAGCTGTGATTTCTTCTGTATTTAAGTCACAAAACTATGTACAAAATTACACTACTTTACTTCAGACTGCTTGGGTACAAGTGGAAAATAATTCTAAATGGTTAAGTGCATTGATGTTATTTGATTTGGGCTTGCATTGAAGTCATTTATTCGAAAAGATTTAGTAAGCGCTTTAAATGTGCAACTCTTAAAGAAAGAAAGGCTTTTAGTTTATACTTTCGCAAAACATAACCCTAATGAGAAGGATTTTGAAGTCAATAATATAACTCTTAAAAGGAAATATCTTCCTTATTCTAGCATAGATATTCAAGCTTTAGTAACTGATGAAATCAGTGGAGTTCATATGTATTCTAATATAAAAAAATGAATTATTAAAAGATTTAACTCCATATGGCTATGAAATTTCTGAAGCATTACGAAATAACAGACCAGTCCAGATAATCTTAGGTCCTGATTTTTTGTATTCGACGCTAATCGGGGAAGTTAAAAAAATAAATAAAAACTTATATATTCAACAGACATTATTTGGTGATACTATCACAGGGCAAATTCCAGAAAATCGTCTGCATAATTCTACTTCCTGTTTGAAGATTGCATGTACTTTGGTAGAAAAATGATTTGAAATGTTTCTGGATTTCTGAATCCTATTTTCTTGAGAACGGAAAAGAGAAAATCTCGGATAATATTACAGAATTCAAAACACAGTTATGGTTTATAAATGGAAGGTACGAGTCACCACTTTTACGGGAGTCTGAGATTTTATGAGAAAATTTGTCTAGTAATTTAGAAATCCCGACAAAAAGATTTGCTGCATTACAAAAGAAGTTTAAGGCTGATGAGTTATTATTTGAGATATATAATGCAGTTATGAAGGAACACCTAAATGACGGGGGTTATTAATTTGTGCAACAATAGTTGTTTCACTGGATATGTAATGCCTCATAGAGAAGTTTTCAGGGAAGATTCTTCTAATACTAAAACTACGGTAGTTTATGATGCCAGTAGTAAACAAGGAAATTGTAATATTCTTAATGAATGTCTCCTTCCTGGAAAGAATTTAAATGCTAATCTTTTAAATATTATTTTGAAGTTTAGAGAACATAAAACTGGATTCCGTGGAGATAGCGCACGGGCATTCCTTTAAATTCTAGTCATAAGAGATGATAGAAATTATTTATGTTTCCTGTATTATAAAAACTGTGACAAAACCCAACCCATAACCATGTATCATTTTAATAGACATTGTTTTGGCGTCACTTGTTCCCCTTACATTTTGACTGCAACAATTAAAACTAATATTAATACTTACTAGAATACACACCCTCTTGTATATGAAATGTTGAATAGTTCTATTTTTGTGGATGATCTTTTTCATGGAAGTTCCACTGTTTAAGAAGCTTATGAGTTAACTTGTGACGCTTTTTTGATTTTAAAGGATGCAAACATTAATATGAGAAAATTTGACACTAAAGAACTGAAAGATTTACAGAAGAATTCTAATTGATTAATCGAAATAAATTAATATTCTGATTCACATTTGGAACTCAGTTGGAATAATATTGAAGACACATTAAGTCTAGACCAGGGGTGGCCAACCTGCGGTTCTTTGAAGGATTATTTGTGCCTCTCAATAAATGTACCATTTTTGTGTTATTATATTTTTAAAAATTATTATTATTCCGTATGTGTTTCAAAATGTCTTTTAAATTACAGACAACAAATATGAAAGACTAAGTGAAACGTAGTAACAAATTTCATTTTCGTCCATCGTCTCTTGATTTTTTTCTGAATCCATTTGAAATTAACATAATTCAAGGTGAGTTTTCCATTTCCAATATAATTATGACCCAAAAAGCATCTGGATAATTAGAATTAATAGAGATGCAAGAAGATCAAGCTCTACAATTAAAATATAAATCGACGCCGATTACTGGATTTTGGAAATTGGTACCAGAATCGAAGTATCCTGATTTAAAAAATCTGATGTGTACACCACATGACTTCCTTGTACGGAATATTAAATTATACGCATTTTTTCTTGCATTTCATTTAAACTTATTGGATTAAATTAAATCTACTTCGCCGACAGCACATAAACCACAATAGAATAAATGCATTCTTTAAAATTCACTCTAGTATTTGTTTACCATAGCGACACTCTGGTGCTAGATTCACTTAAGAGTATTAATAATTATATAACAGTTAACTTATATAATAATTATATAACAGAAAAAAGCTAACTGTTATATAATCCAATAATTAAATAACAGTAAACGTATATATTTCGTTCATATTATAACTCATAATGCACAAAATTTATATCATTTAAAGAATAGAATTATCTAACTGTTGCCACATGTTCTATTCAAATACTATAATAAAGCTAGAATGATGTATAAAAGAAATTAAGCAAACAAAACAAAAAAGAAACAGTTTTTCACAGACGATTGAGTATTTCTCATATAATTAATTCAGTTCTCACTTTGCGAGAAGGCAAAAATACATAAAAACTCAAATATCTATACTGAAAATTACGAAGTAAATCTCAAACAGTTATTTCCTCGAAAAAATTCCAGAAAGAATTAAGCATGATTTAATTCGCAATAATAATGAATGCGTTATCTTTGTTGTTGCGAAGCTAAGTTTCTCTAGATCGGCAACAAATCCACTAGTCTCCTGTTTCAAATGTAAACATCAATGGACGCCAATGAAAACAGGCTTAGCGGCAATTAAACAACTTTAAAATTGCTGATAATTCTAAAAATATTGCACACAGATTTACTAAAGGCATAAAATCCTTAACCGGAAGATAAAAACAACATAATTCAATCATTTTTAAAGCAAAAAATGTACAATTTACAAACATATAAAAGTAAAGAAACTGAGATCACTGAGCCGGGTAACAGAGTGGATATATGTATAAATATATTTATATATGTTTGGTGCGGTCGATTGCAACCAAAATACGAGGTGCACATCTACATGTTATAGCAGTCCTATATACAAAATTTCAACGTTCTGAGGCTAATCATTTTTGAGTTATGCGAGATACGTACGTACGCACATACGTTCGTACAGACGCCACGAAAAATTCTCTTCAGAATTCATTTTAAAGCAGTTTTATAATTTTTTAAGGAAAAGAGTATTTTATTCTGTTCTTACGTACAGATATCACGCAAAAACATCGTTAAATTGCATTCGATAGTGGTCAAAATGGATATTTTCGTTGAAATATGCTGCCTGAAACTTTTCGAGATTACAATACTTCCTTTTTTACTTCGTACAAGTAAGTAAAAAAGCTGCTTGTCGAATTATTTCAATATTCGAAACAACGTACTTATGTGAATCATTTTATTCCACCTTAAAATTCATGAAATCCAAACAGCGATCAGTATTAACTAACCAGCATCTCAAAGAATTACTGAGAAATGCTGTCACCAATTTTTCACCAAATTTTAAAGAATTATCAAGAGAAGTAAAATAAATGTGTTTAATTTTTAATATTTAAATTCAATACACATATTTTGTACTTTTATTTATATGTTTTCAATAAATATAATTTCTGTAAAAAAAATTTTTAATACCTTTTTTGCATACCTTTTAAATACGTATTTAAATTGCGGCTCGCGGAAAATTTCAAATTTTGAAAAATGGCTCGGACTGTCAAGGAACTTGGCCACCCCTGGTCTAGACAGAAGGTCATTGTTATCCATTGTCATCCATTGGCCATTGTTATCCATTGGTCATTGTTAATCTAGAATTAATTAAGCTTGGAATTTTCAGTCTAATATGCTTTTTGTGTGTGGTGTGAATAAAAATCAGAAAAATCTATACAACATGGTCTTCATTCAAGAATCTCATTTAATTTTCTAGTGATGATGTTGTGATTTTTATCAATAACAAATGACAATAGGCATTAAAAGAAAGCAGAGAGATCAACAAACATTAATGAACAATGCTAATCTGAATGTTATTGTGAACTATGTAAAGCGAGAGATAATGCATGTTCTTTTAAATTTTTATCCATTGACTGAACTTAGATGTTAGGATTTGAGCAATAAAATGGTGATTTTCTTGAGTCAAACTGAGAGCATTTCTAAACAATTTTTAGAAAAAATGCACTAGTTATTTTTATAAGCAATGATTCAAGGAAATTACTATAAAATATCTATTTTAATTTTTTTATTTAAAATAGTCATTTTAATCACATTTAAACACTCACATACATGCAATAGCCTTTTTAAAAATAAAATAATGTTCTTTGACGTACAAAAGCTTTCATGTTATGGTCTCAGATTATTACTTAAATGAGGTTAAAAACAAGCAATTGTAAATATTGTTTTTTTTTTTACGGAGCTGCACTTGTTGCATAAAAACATAATACATGATCAGAAAAGTTTATCACAGCTTTTCTCATTGTGATACACAATTAGAAATGTTAATTACCAATTTTTAATTGTTCATTTATTTCTAATAAAAAATCTGCAATACAATACTATGATTCATACTAATTAAATGAACATAAATTTATACCATCACGTTCTTATCACCTAAAAAATTGCAGAACAATTGTTAGAATACTTATATAAGATACACTATTTAAAAACTGTTATTTAAATTATCACACAATACATACAAGATAGTAATCTGCAGCACTTTAAATTCCCTTCAATAAAAATAATAAAGCATTAAAGAATTTGAAAACCTTCAGCAGTTCTTGTGTAAAAAAGTATTATTTATGATATTAATGGTATTATTTGCTTACCTGATATTCTTCTTCAGTATCCAAGATTCCATCGACATAAACTAACTGATACTGACGAGCTTTTAATGCTGATAGGGGGCGACGTATAAGCCTCATTGCATTTGAATTTAATGCAGTACTGTTGAACTGCTCCATTTGAGATTTACTATGACTAGGATCAAAAACTAAAAGCTGTAAATTTCCATCTCGTAATTCTTCTAAGCCAATTATTGTTCTACTGTGGCCTAGAGATTTTCAGGAAATGATATTACTCTCAGAGTAAAATGACACTTAAAAACAATAAACTCAGCAGAGTTAAAATCTCATACAATAATTAATTGTAATATATAGAATGTCATATAAGCTGAGATGTAAGATTTTGCTGCTAAAATTCATTAATTAGACAAAAATTAAAAACTCATGTATAAGCCAAATTTAAAATTGCTTTATAAATATAGTTACATAGCTGCATGTAAGAAAAACTTTACTAATTGGCATTGATTTTATTTTTAGCAGAATTGCTTTCAGTGATTGGACCCTGCTATCTTCTTTAGCTGCTGTCATAACTAAGAAGCCAAAAGTTGCTATACATATCAAAAAGTTCAAATAATTGGTCATTTAATTTAGCTTGACTTATGACATGAGCTGAAAGTGAATGCCAAGTCCCCATCCATATGAAAAGTAGGCCAGACATTCAAAAAATTTTGCATCGGTAATGCTATGGGCAGAAGTGAAGAAGACTGGCATTTACCTGGACCAGAGTAGGGCATCATTCAATTACAATGCAATTGCAAATATAAATAAATTACAATATACTTAATTACATAGCAACCAAAGCAATGTTTCAATTGCAACGTAACTGTAAACATAGTCAGCAATTACAACTAATTCAATTACAATGTAATTGTACAATTATAATTTAATTGTAATTGCAGTTAACTCAATTATAATTAATTCAATTACAATGTAATTGAGTTATAAACTGAGCAATGTAATTGCAAATAATTCAATTACAAAGTAATTTTAATTGTAAGATTTGCAATTATAATTGCATTACAATTACATTACAGCCACAGTCATAACTATATTGTACATTAACTAAAATTCCAATTGTAATTATAAATAAACTTGTTAGTACTTGTGATTTATTACCCCTTGAGGGACACATATTAGTTTTACTTATGATATAAAATATTGTTCTTAGGAAAACAAAATCTGCAGACACGACCATGACTCTGAAATTGACGGAGAAAATGAACATAAATAATCTTTAGAAGCAACTTTGGGGATGCGCTGTCAGTGCAATTATATAAAATCTTAATTAAATCAAGCACCCTCTCAGTGTAAAGCAGTTTCTCAGAATATTGTCATTCGGCAAAGCATAAGATCTTTAATTTATCTTTAAAACTTATTAAACGAAGAAAGCTGGTGATAGTTAATTTTATTGTTAAAACTAACTAATGCAGCTATAATTGTGGTTACGACATAATGGCATTTAAAATTACAATAAAACTGAAAATGCAATTTAATTTTTAGGTTAACAGTAATTGAGTAGTTAAGACTTTTTTATAGTTCAGTTTTATAGTTCTACATAAAACAACCAAACCCAGTTCCTGTAAATACAATCCACTGTAATTATATTTCTTTACAAATTTATTGAAAATATGTGTAGCATTTAAAAAAGTATTAATTAATGATTCATGTTGCTACTCCAAGCTGCAGTATATGCAGAAATAAAATACAGTCAAAAATCTTTAATCTGGACGTCCATAATCCGGTCCTCAACGCTATAAACTTTCTGCACATGCGTAAACGCATTATGCGTTTACGCATGTGCAAAATATGTTTACACATGCGCGTTTAATGTATAACAGACGGTATAAGCTAAGCTAAAATTATCTAATTATCTATTTCAGTTCACGTTGCAGATTGCATTGTTCCTTAATCTTCGAACTGGATCCGGCTTATTATTTTTTGCAGACTGTTAGAGACATTTAATAAAAGTAAGCTTGAACTTTTGATTATGTCAAAAAGAATTTCCAATTCTGGAGCTGCCAAAGGATCTACAAAGACAAGCATGTTTCGATGCCCATCAAACAAAAAGTGGAATTGCTGCAAAAAATGGATAAGGGCATATACTTTGTTTCTCTCACCATTCCGAAATCTTTTTATCAATTTCACGCTGCTGTACGGGAGGAGAGGGGGGACGTCGCAGCACGCAATGAACTGGAATTTGATCTATCAGCACTATTCTTATCTTCAGGGCAGATGTTTTTATTTTATTCGGCTTATAATTCCTTACTAAATGTAGTATTTCATCTCAATGTACTCCGTCTTTGATATGATTTAAATCAAACTCCTTGCTCATTATAAATATCACAAATACACATCAAATAATCATCAAAATCGTAAAAAACAACCTTGTATTTAGCATAGGTATAATGAAACACTCAATCAATTTCGAGGGCAGCTAAAGGTCCCTCCTCATCAGGAAAAAGAAATAACTAGAAAGAAGAAAATAAAAGAGTCACAGAAACATGTGGTCCTTATCAGCACTGCACGTGGTTATAACTAGATTTTTAATCAGAGTTGCACTGGCCGCCTACTTTTACTGAGCCAGGCTATCTGATCAAGCATAAAGGACAAGAAAAATTAGCGAAGTTAAAATAGGGAGCGAGGGGCAAATGCACGTAACGCTCAAAATCTGAACTTCAAATAATGGAAAGCAACCACTGAACGGATTTTTATACCCTCTGGTAGTACCAAACGCGAGGAGGTAACGCCATCTATCGGCAAAAATAACTGAATTAAGATAGTAGAATTTTAAAGGCATTAGGAAGGACTGGATTGGACTTCAAATCATTAAACCTGCTAAATCTTTGTGAATGTGAAAAGCCTCAAGAAAATCCAATTCACCTACGGAAGAAGCCTTTTGGATAATTTTTGCAGACCCAAAATCAAAATTATGGTTAAAAGTCCAACTATGATACACTATTGAAGACTTGTTAATTTCGCCTTTTCAGATTCATGTTCCTTGATACGAAACTTCAACGCTCTTTTTGTTTGGCCAATCTATCTTAAACCACACTGACACGATATACTATAAATTCCCCAAGAATTCAAGACAGAAACGCAATCTTTTAGAATCGAAGGGTGAATTTTATTAATAGGGAAGAAACCGACTTGAAAATTGAATTTCTGGAAAATCCGTGCAATTTTATAGCTAACAGAAGGATAAAATAGAAGTACGACAAGGTCATTAATATTATTTCTAACAGAGGAATGTCTTGTTTGGGAATCTGAAAATTTTTTAACTGCTTTATCAGTAATCACGGAAGGAAATCCACGGTCAATCGCAACTGCTCTCAAATAATTAAGTTCATTGGTAAGCAAAGATTCAGAGGAACAAACTTTAAGCGTACGGAATACATAATAGTAAAAAGAAGCCATTTTTTGCTTAATAGGGTGGCATGACTTGGCATGGGGTGGTAAACAAACTGCAAAGGGTTTACGGTACACAGTGGTGCTAAAATCAGTTTCATTGCGGATTATAAGAATATCGAGGAAGAAGAGGGAATTGTTGGATTGAATTTCACTTTCCACGTGGCTATTGGTTTTCAGTATTGGATGTTTCTCTCCTTTTGGAATGTTTTTGTCATATGTTGATGAAAATTGTCTTCATTATTTATTGGTGTTTTTTCATGTAATAAGTAATTACTTGTTTGTGACTTTCGGAATTATATTTCTTTTGTTCACTTGTTTCTTGCTTGTTCCCTTTTCACAATATGTCCACTGACAGGAACCGAATTTGTAAGTTATGCCTTAAGCGTACGAAATTCTTGAATCATCTACAGTTTCTACTTAAATGCAAACATCAAAATATCATTCCCAAATTTATACATGTGAAATGTAGCCTTAAAGCTTCCGTTCACGTTTAAAAAATTTTGCATAAATTCAAATTGGCACTTCTTCGTCACATAAGGGACACAAGCAAACGTTTATCTAAAATTGAATTTTAATTATATTACCTCCATTTAAAAATTGCTAATTCCACTAAAAATTTTTCCTCTTTTGAACATACATCCTGGTCTAGAACCGATACCGTTTCTCAACGGCATAAAAATGTGCTTATTTGTAAATTCCTTAAACTCACACACCAGTCGGACAGTCCCAACTATCTAGCTAATCTTCTCACTGTAAACGTTAACCCCATCATTAATATCTCCAATAGGAATCTTTCGGAGGATCAGTTAAAAGTATTAAAATATAATTTCAACTTTTCAAAGACATCTAAACCTTTAATTTCTCAAATCATCGCCCCTATAGAGAAAGCCTTTAAATTCTCCAAAATTTCGGAAATGCTGAAGGATACAATCCGCCACCTAATTACTCATAACATTAATTTTAACAACAAATCTTTGGGTTCGAATCTTAGCAAAAAGGAAAATGAGATCTTACGTGAAATTCATTCTGATACTAATATCATTATCTCTAAAGCTGATAAGGGCGGACAGATTGTTGTTATGGACAAACACACATATATTACTGGAGCCTCTAAACTGATAAATGATGGCCCATACTGCTCGATCCCTAAAGATCCTTCCACTTCGGACCTCACGAAAGTAAAAAGTGCTATTAAATCTTCCCACAATCTGCCAACTCAGTTGAAGAAATCACTTATTCCACCTATTACTAATTGCGCTAGACTTTATGCTCTTCCAAAACTTCACAAAACCGGTATTCCTTTTCGACCAATTGTTTCCAACATAGGTACTGCTTCATATCCTTTGGCCAAATATTTAGTTTCCAGATTTTCTCCTCTACTTGCTAACAATATTCACACTGTAAAAAATTCTGTTGAAGTCATTGATAAACTTAAAAATATTTCTCCACTTCGTTCCATTATGGTTTCATTTGATGTCAAATCTCTGTTTACTAATGTTCCGGTCGAAGGAGCACTAAATTGTCTTGAAACTAGGCTTCGGGAATTTCACTTCACGCATACTGAAATTAATGAGTTGGTTTCGCTTACTAAAGTTTCTCTAAGTCAAACCCACTTTGTTTTCCAAAATGCATATTTTCGTCAAGTTGAAGGATTGGCTATGGGTAATCCTCTCAGTCCGGCACTTGCTGACATTTATATGCACTATTTTGAGATGAAATTATTTGATAAACTATCTTTTCGTCTTTGGATTCGGTATGTTGACGACACTTTCGCACTTTTTGACGGTTATAAAGAGGATTTATCCGAGATTCTATCTATTATGAATTCAATTGATCCAGCCATCCAATTCACTCTTGAAATTGAATCTAACAATTCCCTCCCCTTCCTCGATATTCTTATAATCCGCAATGAAACTGATTTTAGCACCACTGTGTACCGTAAACCCTTCGCAGTTTGTTTACTACCCCATGCCAAGTCATGCCACCCTATTAAGCAAAAAATGGCTTCTTTTTACTATTATGTATTCTGCGCGCTTAAAGTTTGTTCCTCTGAATCTTTGCTTACCAATGAACTTAATTATTTGAGAGCAGTTGCGATTGACCGTGGATTTTCTCCCGTGATTATTGATAAAGCAGTTAAAAAATTTTCAGATTCCCAAACAAGACATTCCACTGTTAGAAATAATATTAATGACCTTGTCGTATTTCCATTTTATCCTTCTGTTAGCTATAAAATTGCACGGATTCTCCAGAAATTCAATTTTCAAGTCGGTTTCTTCCCTATTAATAAAATTCACCTTTCGATTCTAAAAGATTGCGTTTCTGTCTTGAATTCTTGGGGAATTTATAGTATATCGTGTCAGTGTGGTTTAAGATAGATTGGCCAAACAAAAAGAGCGTTGAAGTTTCGTATCAAGGAACATGAATCTGAAAAGGCGAAATTAAAAAGTCTTCAATAGCGTATCATAGTTGGACTTTTAACCATAATTTTGTTTTTGGGTCTGCAAAAATTATCCAAAAGGCTTCTTCCAAAAGGTGAATTGGATTTTCTTGAGGCTTTTCACATTCCCAAAGATTTAGCAGGTTTAATGATTTGAAGTCCAATCCAGTCCTTCCTAATGCCTTTAAAATTCTACTCTTAATTCAGTTATTTTTGCCGATAGATGACGTTACCTCCTCACGTTTGGTACTACCAGAGGGTATAAAAATCCGTTCAGTGGTTGCTTTCCATTATTTGAAGTTCAGATTTTGAGCGTTACGTGCATTTGCCCCTCGCTCCCTATTTTAACTTCGCTAATTTTTCTTGTCCTTTATGCTTGATCAGATAGCCTGGCTCAGTAAAAGTAGGCGGCCAGTGCAACTCTGATTAAAAATCTAGTTATAACCATGTGCAGTGCTGATAAGGACCACGTGTTTCTGTGACTCCTTTATTTTCTTCTTTCTAGTTATTTCTTTCTCCTGATGAGGAGGGGCCTTTAGCTGCTCTTGAAATCGATTGAGTGTTTCATTATACCTATGCTAAATACAAGGTTGTTTTTACGATTTTGACTGTCACATTAGCGTGTTTCTCTTCTACACATCAAATAGTTTTCTGGTTGCAATTTTCTAATTTCAACTATGCGTAATTTATGCTTTACGCATGTGCGCATTGAAAGAAATGTTTAATAAAGTAAACAAATAAATATTAAGCTTTTTTTGTAAATTTTGATACCCTTTAGATCATAATTGCTCTTTATTTCATAAATTACGGTTTCATACTTTTAATTTTATAATTTCTGCATGATATCTTACCAGATTTAAACTGATGATCTATAATTCGGAAAAACCGATAATTCGGAATCTCCGAAGTCCTGGCGAGTTTGGATTAAAGACTTTGGACTGTATATGTAGTATATGTAGCTGCAGCATATGTAGAAATTACTGCTTGGCATTATTTACCAACTTGCCATTCAAAATGGTAAACCATTTCAGATATACTGGCATTTACTGTAATTTCCAATTACGATCAGGATTTCAATGGGCTATGTAACAGAAATTACCAACAGCAGTTACTTTTCTACTTAAGTAATTGTAATTACCTACTTCAATTACAATCACAAATACACTGGAATTGTAGTTAGATTAAGCCATTACTTTGTAATTTCAATTACAGTGTGATTCCAATGTAATTAGATTTCACAATTATTATGTAATTGTAATTAGATTATGCAATTATTATCAGTTAGAATATAACTGACATTACACTGCAATCATAATTAGATTTCACAATTACATTTTCCCCAACTCTGACCTAGACTTAACTGTAGTAGAAAAAGACTCCCGGAAATTGGTGAAAAATTTTAATTTGGATACAAATATTAAAAGTTTCGTTAGCGCAGATTACGATATAATAAAGCTAAAGAAATATATACTTTTAGTTAATTAAAATCATTTTTGCAACTGAGTTATTTGCATCTTTTTCTGAACTTATACTGTTTTGTATTAGCTGAGAAATACTTGGCGACAGAGCAGAATCTTGGCTAATAGCGCATGTGCCACCAGAATTGGGGCTGAAATATATTCTGTGAGGAACTTGATTTTGTGGTACATTCGAAGTTGCGATTCATATGTTACACTGTAAGAAAGAAACCTTGCACCAGAGTGTCGCTATAGAAAATAAATGTATTGAAAGTTAGAGTGTGTTATTTTCTGTAATCTGTGTGGTGTTATTTTATTGTGATATATAGCTATCGACGGGTCAGTCAAATGGGATAAGTCAATTCATATACATTAATCTACTTTCAAATTTCAGTAACAAAAAATTTATTAAAAATTCGTGGCTTATACATGGGAATACATAGTATTTATATATTTAAATGATTATGAAAGCAATTTTCAAGACTTAGCAATCAGAAATTTTTGCATTTGTCAAGTTATTACCATTTAGTTTAAGTAAACATATATCTGCTAGAATATAATTTTAATAACACCTTAAAAATCCATAATATGTTTCTCTGTATTTATCTGCATCCTTAGTTTTAGAAAATAGCAATTGCTTTAGATTACATACAGCATCTAAAAAATAAAACATGTAATTGTATATTGTATTCCTTCCCCTTCATTAAAGGAAATTTTAAAATGAGCAGTCTGATATCAAACTAGCTTTGATTTTGAAACTAAGTTTGTAACATAATCAGACTAATTTATTTATTTAATCAGAGTTTGATAAAAATGTTATGTACCTACAAAAATTGGTTCATTCTCCTTTTAAATAGTTTATTTCAATAAAACACTTCTATCTATGTTGGAGCACTTGGAGATTTTACATCTATATATGCGATTCTGTAAGCACTAATGATCCAGAACTGAACTGATAGAAAGTTCTTTTGGATAGTGTAAAGATCTTGATGAGTTTAACATATGGTTCACCGAATGTAACTGATTATTAATCACAAAAATTATATCATTAAAGAATACACAGTCAGTCAGCCAAGTTATTAAAAAAAGGGAGTGAAACTCTATCATTAGATGTTTCAAAACTGCAGCATATAATTAAATGACCAATGCAGTTGTCACTATTGTTACTGAACAGTACTCAATGCATCAATCAACCTTAAGAATACTACTTGATAAAACTTGCATTGCTTCCACTTGCTTGCATTTAAAAAAAAGTACTTATGTATTATCCTGTCAACTGTGAAAATTGGCTACTTCTGAGCCATGAATATTAGAGAAGAAAGTTGCAGCAATTGCTCCTATGGTATTCTGCAGTAACTGACACCTTCTTAATAAGAATAAGCAATCAGTATTCAACCCAATTCATTTGCATGCTTCCTAAAAAGGCTTCTATCGATTTTTACCATTTTATTAGTCCCTTCTGATTTTACTGGAAGCTTTGTTTAGAAAGTGTGAGTATAAATTACCTAAATAAATTAGTATAAACTTCCAAATGATTATTATTTTGTTGGCAATATCAATATTCAGCTGACCATATTGTGTCCATTAATATACACTTTTTTTTCAAGGTAGAATTACATTAACTTTGAAAACAATCCACTGTTTGATGACCTGTAGAAGGCAGGTCCTAAAGTTTAATAATTTCTTTCAATATCAACAAAAAAGTTCAATAATAACAGTTAATTTATATCCTTGTTCACAAAAGCAAAATATAGTTTATCAAGAAACAATTGAGTTTATATCAAACAAAATCAAATATGTTATGAGTGTGTTAATCAGTCTCATTCATACATAACTGGTGCTAAACCACGCTGCTTGGTGGCAGTTTGACAGTCGATGACATAAAACCTAAGTACCATAATAACCATTGCATTTAACATAATAATAATTTAAATGTCCCTTACAAATAAACGACAGCCATATAAGGTTCAAATTAAGCAGAAGTTGAATAAAGATGATACTAGTTAGAAGAATAGGCTCGGCAAAACTTTTACTGTTAAATTCCTTGATACACTTGGTAAATATAATGAATAAATGAAAACGATTTTCTAAAAAGTTCGTTTCATCAAACATCTGTATACAGGGAATCTAAAAAAGTTTAAAATTCACAACTAATATTTACCATGATGCTGCAAATATACTGGAGGTTTAAATTCATCTTCACTAGTAAAATATTCTTTTACCCATGCAAACATTTCTGGGTGAGTGCCATTTGGTCCAGTAGGTTGATGACAATCAATAAGGCGACCCCTACAATAGAAAATTTTCACTTCACTGACAAAGCAAATATATTTAAAAATAAGATGAAAGTAAATTATCTGAAAACTTCATAATTAAATGGATTTATTTCTTACAAAATGTTATTTTTTATTGTTAAATGAAACATTTTAAACTTTCAAAGTTTTAAGGTTAGGAAGAGTAACTACTGCAATGTGGCAACTAATTGTAAATATTTTTATGGTTTAAGCTCTTAAAGTATAATTATACCCGTAAACAGCAAATTATATATGAGCATCTCATATTTTTATTGCACCAATTAGGGTTTAAAAGAATCATTTGATAATTCAAACTAAGAGTTGCAGATTCTAAAGAAATACTAGAAGACTTAGAAAATAGTAGATTAGCGATTGATATCATATAATACATAAATATTATGACACAAGATGAATCAAAACTGAAATTTTAATTTAAGTACATAAAAATGAATACATATAACTGCTAATGAACTACTCTTAAATATTTATATATATTTAATTAGTTTAATTTTATTATTTTCCTCTTGAACATTCTTTTCTTAGACTTCTCCCCCACAGCAATTATGCATGTGAATCATAATTCACAGCTATATATAATACCTGGATTGCTAAATGTTTGCTAAGCAGCAATCCAAATTTCAACTATTATTTAGTTCAAATTTCTCTTCTAAGTTAAAAATTATTCTCAAGTAATTAACCCGTGCACTGGGTCCAAAGGACCCATTCGATTAAAGAAACCTTTCTCAAAGCGCACATATTTCACGCAAGTTGTTGAGGTTCAGTGTAGTCGTGTCTTAGGTCGACCTCTTTATGCTTCTGAAGTTTTTTCATTGGGACTTTATTCGGAGTTCTGATTTTGATGCGATCGGGTCTTTTAGATCCAGCGCGCCAATTCATGTTACTATTTCATAGTTGATTTGTGATAGTATAGAAAGCGTCAAAAATGTTACGTTATTTATTATACAACAACGAAATATTGCAAAAGTTATCAGAGGTATCAAATGACGAAGAATGTATTGAAGAAAATAAGGATGGAAGTGATCATGAATTTTTAATTCACATGATTCTGATTCAAACAGTGATATAGATTCTTAAAACGAGTACGAAAAAAAAAATTTTTTTTAGAGGGGCAAAAAAAAAAAAAAAAAAAAAAAAAAAAACTAAAACGCGTTTTGCCGAATGTGAAAAATATTTGTGTTTGGAACACACAAAAACACCTTCTTCAATGTGCTGCTCACATTTGTTGTTGCATTTTCATCTGTGTCTATAGTGCTAATAAAGAAAATAAGAATCGACACAGAGTAAAGAGTATCGATACAGTACTATTTTTTCCCTGTGCTAATAAATAATTAGATTTTCTATTCCTTTAAGAAATTTTAACTTGCATATTTTTTAAATTTTATCATAAAATTTATTATTGACATAAATGTCACATATTTTCTGAATATTCATAACATTTTCTTCAAAAAAACAAGAACTGGGTCTTATAATTATTAATTAAAAACATATGTATTTATAGTGTTTATTAGATTAAAGTGATTGAACAGTTAATCATTATCACATCATTTGATTAAATTAATATTTGAGCTATTGATAAAATATTTATAAGTTTAAACTATTTTAATTATTAATAAAATTGTACATATTACTTTAAAAGAATACAAAATTTATGCTTTTATTTATCTTTATTTACACCACCTAAATGTAGACACTGTTTTTCCCTTTGAATTTAAAAATATTTATATTTAATAAAAATAATTATTATAAATGCATATTTATAATTAAATAATAATATATTAATAATATACAATAAGTAAATATATTACTAGTAAATATTTACAATTAAAACAACTATTATGAAATGTTTTAAGTAATTAATAACATAAACAGGAAATTTCAACTAAATTTTAAAGTTATAAAAGTCTGCAAAATATGTCACAAGGTATAATAAATTACAGATTAAAAAAATATGAAAATGATCATTTTAAAATTAAAGAAAACTGAATAATATATATTAAGGTTTTGGATTAAAACATATTTATGGAAATATCCCTTTAATGCATTATTCAAAAATATTTAATTTCATGTTAATTTTCATACTTTTTGAAAAATGTACACTATAATCTGTGACAATGATTTTTATGAATGAATACTTGAATAAATTTATACAACTACACATGGTTTTCCAGTTTGGATCAAAATGAAGAAAAACTAATATATTTTAAATAATTCTAACCTGATACGAAATGATGAAAGGAACGTCACAACCTCAGTTGCTCCAATCCATTTCCTGGTATTGATTAGTCTACCACCTAACTGTTCACAACCAGCAGGATCAAATCCTTGTCTCCATGCAGTTTCAATAAGCTCTTGAAGCTTGGATACAGAAGGTATGGCAAACCTACCTAAATTAAAAAAAAAATATAAATGGCATTTTATATCAGATTTTAATATTACTGAACTTTCTTTAAACAGTGGAAATGCAGAAAATATTCTTTGTAAAATTAGTGATATATTTATTACATTTAGAGTCAAATACTTAAATTCTGAGTACAGTTTAAATGCTCAAGATTAAACTGTACTTAGTTTACATTAAACTGAAGTTTCTAATTCCTGTCACTTAAAAGCACTTTCAATAAGAAATTAAAAAACCTGCTGTGACCAGTATATGACCTGATGCCAATTCCAAACTAAAGTAAGAAAATAGCAGAATCCAAATGAACTTTAAGTAAACTTTCATTTCCAGCTGATCATTTGTAAATAAAATCTAATTTGTTTACAGATTTTATGGCTCAACTGTTAATAATAAACACTATTGATTTTTAATTATTCTATTCTTCTATACAACAGACAATGGTAACTAACTTTACATGCAATGCAACATACACATCCATTCTCAGGCTTTGATTTGAAAATATCACACTGATTGTAGCATATCCTCGGGTCATATAATGTTTCCGATTCATAAATCATAAAAATTTTGAGTGTTATGTATTCCCATACATTTCCTTTTGTATTTGCTACATCATTTATATTCGCTATATTATTTCTTTAAAAAAAATACATACTCATAGTGGTCCACCAGCGGCCGAGCAGTTCGAATCCCGTGAACGGGCTGGCTGCATGGGCATTTTCGTGGTTTTCCCCATGCGTAACATGTATACGAGCTATTTTCTCTTTGAAAGTCATCCACGAAGGCATCTCTCCCCTTAGGCAGATAGACCTAGTGTGCTTTGCCATAATTAAGTAAACCAAAAACCATACTCGTAGTATTTGGTGGCAGCATCCTTTGCTTTGAAAAGTAATTTGATTATATTTTCTACATCATTTCTTTAAAAATAATAAGTATTGATAGAATTTGGTGGCAGCATTCTCTGCTTTGAAAAGTGATCCATTACAAAAGTGAAATAAACACAATATCGAAGATAGAGGTTAATTCATTTAATTGTATCATGACGAGAGCTTGTCTTCACAATGAGTTTATTCTCATCCCATTTAGCATAATTCCAAGAATACATTTAATGCTTACAAATTTAATAAGTTGTTCTCAATCATGTACCTATTTTAAATACCAAATTTCACACGTTTTGGATTATCTCAAAATATACATTTTTTACAGAAGTCTGTTCAGAGATATAAATAAATTATCACTTCTGTTTTATCAATTTTAGCCCAACTCTAAAAAGTTATTTCTACTGATATAAAAGTCTTAAATATTAAATTTCAGGAATTTTGGATTATATATGTGGATATGTACAAGTATATATTTGTGTGAAATTTAAAGGCTATCTGGTTTGTAGAAGTGACTAATTTTGAACTTTAATCTAAATAAATGGAGAAAGCAGCCTAATTAAAGCTACCTAAAATGAAATACACTATTTAACTTTTGCAAGGTTACATGACAATACAGAACTTAGAGGTTTTCAACCAATAGTCAAAAGATAAGCAATTTAAAAACATTACATTTGTGCTGTACATTATTAAGTACTCTTTCAAGACATGACATAAAAATCACACACTTTGAAGCACTGCAAAAGTAATGAAACACTACAATTAAAAACACTAAATTTTCAAAGCAAATCACATGAATGCTTCACTTACCATTAAAGAGTCTATTGCTGTATTTTGTATTATGAACTAATGCAGAAAGTAACATTTGAATATTTCTGTATCCACAGCCCCATCCTTTATCACCATATGTTGATCCATAATGATCAACAGCTGTGCATAGCCAAGTATGTTCAACATTTGCTGAAGCCATGCTGAAAGCTCGAATTTTAGGAATCAGACCTGGATCAATTTACAAATAATTAACTACTAATAATAATTAAGACAAAATTAAAAATACAACAACTGCAGAAAAATTAATTTGCATCAGCAATTATTTTTAACTGCTTTCTGTTTTATACAATTTTACAAGTTAATAACAAAGGAATGAACACTTCTTGCTAATTCATATAACTACTAGACATTATCTGTATTAATTTTCTTCTAAATGTACTTTATTCCAAATTTTAAATCGTTCCTGATATTAATTTTTCATACATTTAGATGAGATGCATTTAATGAAAAGCAGAAAACTTTCTGATTATCTGACCAATCCCGAGAAGAATCACTAGGCAATTTGCTATGTAGTTAAAATAGGCAACCCTGAATGGTTGTGCAAGTATTACACCAGTTCAGAATTTGGATTTTGAAACTGGACACTCATCTTTGCATCAGCTGCTTGTTGTGATTAGCATGAGCACTTTTCCCCCTTGTAACAAATTGTAATGCCACTACGGACTTTGGATGCTAATGAAAAAGAATACATAAAAGAAACATCCAAAATGAAATGATGAAAATTACATAAAACAGCAACAAATACTAAAGTAATAAAATGGGACAGTTGCTTTTATTCATTATAATGTTACATTATTATAGAAATCTTGCAGCTTAAAAGTAGTTTATCAACTGTTCTTATCAGATTGCTGTAATAGCTTTTTCAGAATCTGTGCAATTCTCTGTTTTTTTTTTTTTTTTTTTTTTTTTTTTTTTTTTAAGCTAAAACAGATTGATGTGTACATAGGAATGGGAGGACTAAGATGATCCTTGCATTTATTTCATTAATTTGTTTCTGTTTCATGTATTTTTGTGTTTCATTATGGATGTTTATGTTTTTCATTTCATTAATTTGTTGCTGTTTTATGTAATTTTCAGAGCACCACCATTTTTTAAAATGATTACTGTTTTTCACAGATTAGTGAAAAATTAGTTGGCAATGACTGGCAATTTTGTAGGAGAGCTGGCTGAATAATCCAAAAATATCCCCAAACCAATTCTTTAGCGAAGACCTACGTGAGATAGAACTGCCGGCGAAACATTTTCACTGACCTCATTAAATATCTTGAGTACATAAACCTACAACACATTGTCAAGGAACTGAGTATATATAAGTGCTTTATGTATAGTCATAGAAAATGCTGGTATAATTTGGAATTTTCTTCCCTTAAGACAGAATGGCAATGTTGTTTCGCTTGGTGCCAGATCTATTCCAGGAATAGCAACTAAGTTTTCTTTTTTATGTCCTGTTAGTATCTTACATATCAAGAAGTTTCTGTGCATCTCATGTATTATGAGCCCATTCCTCTGATCAAGATTTCTTATTAACATTACTATTGTACCAATCTTTAACATAAGTAAATGTGGAGGCATTCCATGTTTATTTGTTAATAAACTCCATTGGATAGTTGACAAAATTGTTATTGTCTTCAGTTAAAATTGTATTAATGCTGTTATAAACTTTCTCTTCTAAATTTATCATTTTTATTACTTCATCACTGATTTTTTGAGCATGTTCATTATGGCTTTTTAGTATGACCTTTTCATAGATATTTTCATGGGTATTTATGCTTGTACCAAATATCACATTGAGTATGCTGTCTTGTACTATAAATTCTCTTGATATGTATACTGAATTATTACTATCATTAAGTGATCCATTACCAACTTGTAATAACCAATTAGTGAATTCATCTTCATCTTGACATCTCATATGTTTAGTAAGTTTATTTATTTTAACATTCTCCCATAAGAAAGAACATTTTATAGATGCCTCTAATGTATCTATCATTTCTTCTACCTCTCATTATTACATTAGCAGTTTGCCTGAAATCACCACCAAGCAATATTGTTTTACCTCCACATACGTTATTACTATTTCCACATATGAGAACTTCATCAGTAGCTGTTACATTTAAATGTTTGAGTCAGCTTTTTCCCAAAAGATGGTGCTAGACATCTTCAAGTAGAAAGTTTTTGCTTATTGTAAAGAGACTGGCACCATGGGAAAGGGAGAGTCCCATTTCGGTTCTGCAGCAGTTAAATCTTATATGATTTGTGTTAGGCCTTACACCAGTGGTGCCCAACCTTGTGCTCGGCTTGCCGATCGTTTTGTATGTGCTCGCCAGCCCGATTAGGTACTATGAACAAAAAATATTTTAAAAATAACCATTCCTTTATATTTCTTAATTGTTAAAATATGGTTAGCATTTATAGTCATTAGAGATATCTTGCAAGACGTTATAAAATAACTGATTGCTGACTGATGAACTTGATAGAGAACATGGAATCTTATTGCCTCATTTCAATGTTAGATGGCTCAGCAGGGTAAAAGCACTTCAACTATTTGTAAAACTTCTTTTGCCAATAAAGAGTTTTTGGAATCAGGAAACAAAAGTTCTAAAGAATTGGACGATAATAATTGGTTATCCAATCTGTATTTTCTCACGGATATAACAGCTAAACTGAACAAACTGAATGAAGATCTACAGGGAAAATAAAAAACCATTTTCAATTGACTGGGACTGTAACTGCTCTTCATATAAAGCTAAATTTGTGGACAAATCAGATGAAAGAAAAAAATTTCACCCATTTTCAAAATTTAACAAGCCATATTAATAACCACAAGGCACTTGAAACAAAGAAATACTCGGAAAACCTAAATGCACTGAAAAATAATTTTGAACTCCATTTCTCCTATTTCCATAAAGTTTAACTAACATTATTATTCATCTCAAACCCATTTGCCAAAATTAATATTTCAGATGTATCACATAAAACTGGAAATATGTTTAAACAAAAATGTTGATGTTTTGGAAATATGCTTGTGATTGGCCAAAGGCACCACTGCCTTACACTGTATATTCTGCCTATTACTTTAGCTTTTAAGTCATATATCATTTGAAAATACATAACGTAATGGTATCTCAGAATAATAAGACTGTCTAGATTCTTTATCTTCTTCTTGCAATTTGAAATACGCCAATAGGTGTGTATCTCTGCTGACTTCATTTGATAACTGCTCTCTTTCTGCACCTTCTTCAAATATAATCATTTGTTCTCTTGGTAAGTGTATAAGTGTACAGGTAATCTAGTAACTTTGTGTGATTTATTAAACATCTTAAACTCTCATAATCTCCACATAGCTCCTGGTGCACCTACATATCTTGTATTGATGAACTGTTCAATTTCATTGTTATTATGCATTCTATGATTAGCACAGACATAGCCTTTGTAAATACATTTGAATATGTATTTTAGATTTTACTAATGCGCATGCTTCAACATTAATATGGAAATTGTATTGTCTTGTGTATTTGGTTCAATTTAAATACTTATTATCCGAACATTTACAGTGATATGCAAATAAAGAAAAAGGGTCAGTAAGCTATCGATCTCACCAAATATGCAATGAATTCCTGGAATTGATGAAAATAAAACTTCGAGAAATTTTCATAAAAGAAATTAAAGAAGCCAAATACTTCTCCATTATTGTAGACTCCATCCCCAGATAAAAGTCATCAAGACCAGCTTACGTTTATGCTTAGGTATGTTAATGGCAATTAAGAGATTTTTGGGATTTATCAAGTTGGAGAGGCACACCGTGGAATATTTAATAGAAATATTTATAAAGAAGTTGAATGAGTTAGGATTAAATATTGAAAATTGTCGAGAACAAATGTAAGATAATGCCGCAAATATGTCAGGGTGTTACACAGGATTACAGGCAAGAATACAAGAATTGTCACGTAATGCTATTTATGTGCCACGTTCAAATCATTCATTAAATCTTGTAGTTAACTTTGGATGCGAGTGCAGCTTGGAAGTCATTGATTATTTTGCAACTTTTAAAAGTACTTACACATTCTTTTTGGCTTCCCCTCAAAGATGGAACATACTGGAAAGCTGTAAATGTTCCGTAAAATGATTGGTTGAAACTAAATAGTCTGCCCAATTTGAAGCAGTAAATGCTTTGCATAAAAACCATAAGGCAATAATTTGTTTTCAACTGAACAATAATACAGAAGAGAAATCTGCAGTTAAAAACGAAGTGAAGGCTCTATACAATAAAACAGGCACCTTCAAAACAGCTCTATTAGCATTGAATTGGACAAGGATTTTGGAATGAGTGAATGCAAGCAGCAAAATTTTACAAACTGTGGACTTAAATGCATCATTTGGAGTTCTGATGACACCTCTGTTCACCTTTGTCACAGAAATAAGAAAACACTTTAATGAAATCAAGTTAGAACAAAAGATATTTTTTTGAAGATATACCACAAACGTACACTATAAAGATGAATTTAAAAGAGCAAAAAGGAGAAACATTTTTTGATGAAACAACTGAAAGTGAAATCAATTTAGAAGCAAAAGAAACATTGAGAATTGAAGTATTTAATGTAATACTTGACAATATTACTCAAGACCTTAAATAAAAAAAAAAATATTAAACCTTATGAAGAAGTAACATCAGCATTTAAATGTTTTTCACTTTAGACAAGGAGGAAATCAAAACATCAACTAACATTTTGTGTGAGAAATACAGGAATGATATTGATAACACCAAAGAATATTTACAAAATGAAATTATTCATTTTTAAGAATTGTGCAAAAAATTAAACAAAAACACAATTTATGAAAAATTTGAGGTTGTCCAGATGGCGAGAAAGCAACCTTTTTCAAATATTCTAACTCTATTGCAAATTTATTTAATGATACCTCTTTCTAACACATCATGTGAACAATCTTTTCCGCCCCTAAAAAGAATAAAACACATACTTAAGGTCTAATTTGAGTCAAGAAAACCTTGATGCACTGTCACTATTACATACAGAACAGAACACAATGGAGAAAATAGTGATACTATCATACATCAGTTTGCCAATATTGAGTCACAAAAAAGAATGTTACAATTTTTGATATGTTATATGTTATATCTTAGAATGTTATTTTTATTTTTACCTTTTTTTTTTATATATATTTTAGAATGTTGTTTTTATTTTTAATATTTTTATAAGAATACTGGTTTGTTTTTATATATATTTTTACAATAAAAATTAAACATTAAAATTTTGCTTTATTTGTTGGTGAATCAAAGAGCCCCTACTTGGATCTGTGAGTGCCAAGGAGACCCGTAGATCTTCTGCGCCCAGAGCCAGAAATGTGCTTAAATTGGCACTGAGTTTCAGTTTAATTTAGTTCAGAATGCCGAGTTTAGATCAGAGTATTATGAATATTGAGAGATCACTGTGCGAGCTTATGCACTGAGACTTTTAATATTGTCTTGTATTTAACATTCTTAATAGTTTGAAGTGGTAACTACTGATTGTTATCAGTCACACTGAGAAGAGTTGTATGAGCACTTTTATAAAAAGTTACAGAACTGTAAAATGTTTCTTTTGGAAAAATAAATTTTATTAAGTTATCATAGCTTCTGAGTGCATTCAATCCATTACAACGCACATAACAATGCAATTATAATAATGGCAAAAACAAGGACTGCTCTGAATATGTACTGCTCTTTTTTAAGAAACTGGATCTGGATATATTCCACAATATTACTGAAAAGATCAGCCATAAAACTAAAAAGAAAGTTAAAATTAACACAATTAGAAGAATTCCAAACAACTGAGATTCATAAAATACAAAGGCAAATAATAATGACAAAGGCCAGTGATTTTAAATTTTACCCATTACCGTTCGAATTCTTCAAGATTTTATATACAATTTATACATGTTCCAAAATGCTCAGTTGGCACAGCTCAGGAGCTCAGACAGGCCATGGAAGGATGCAAAAACCATACAATACTTTTGAGAAATATTTAGTATAGATGTTTTGATATCATCATGCTGAAAATGCTCCTTAAATATACAAATGTCAAATTTAAGTTTTGCATGATGAGAATACCATTGTATATTATCAAGGCTAGAAAGTTTTCAAAGAAAATAGCTCTTTAAATCTTTTAGTTATCTCAGACTATGTACTACTCTACAGAAATGGTTTCTAGCACTATTTCCCTCATAGATATATATATGCACTGTGCAAAAATTAATTTATTATTAAATAGCATACATCATCATTCAGTTGCAGTTTAAATTTTATATACTGTATAGGAACTGCTAAAAATTTAGTGGCAGTCATACATATCAATAAAAAAACACCAATGCCAGAAAGATGATTGAAGAAAAAGAATCTTAATACAATAACCAGACTCGGTTGCGTATCCGCTGGCAAAGAATTCAGTTGCCTAATTCCAGCTCCAAGAAGATTTGGAGAAATAAATAGTAAATTTGCATGATTTTAATTTTAGAAATATGATACCATAATAGTTACAAAACTACATCAAAATACAAAGCAATCTGCAAAATGAATAGTACCATATAATTTTACATGATACAAAACTGACAATATTTAGTAACTTCTAATTTCATGTAATATTATTAAATCAGAAATATTATTTTATACAGAAATATATTAAATAGAATTTGTTTTATGTAAAAATATATTATATAGAATTTATTTTATACAGAAATTGTTTTCTTTTATTAAGTGAAAATAAGGATTACCTTTTGTACATGAATGGCCATCATCCACGCCTTCACGCTCTGCAATGCAAAGCTCCATTTGTCTATTGTAGTAATCTGCCACACTCATTTCACCAGCATAAACAGCACGTTGCATATTGGTAATTGACTGTTCCTTAAAATTTCCCTGATTGTCCATGCCATATTGAGCTTGTAGGAGACGAAATTCCCTCTGTTCACGCAATCTCTGCTCTTCTCGCTCCCGGCGTTCCATCTCCAATGCCAGTAAGTGATCCGCATTTCCATCTTCTGAAACTACAAGATTTAATATTTCATTTGCTAGAACTGGAAACAACAGGCCAAGACTAAAATATTGAAATGTACATGACAATGGTCACAAAACACGAGATAAGAAATTTTCAGAAGCCTCAAATATTAATTTTAAATCTCTTAGTTTCTTCCCCTTTTATTGTGTTAATCACAGAAGTATGTATTCACTTGGCACTAAATAAAGTTCTTCCATCATTTTCTTTCCATTGAAATAGTTTGAAAATTCAACACCTCTCATGTTCTGATAAATAAATATAATGTACATAAGCAGTTAAATAATAAGGATAAGAAACTGATTCTGAATTTAATAATATGGTACTTACATATTATCTCATTGAGGATAAAAGTTGGCTATCTTCAAATCATGAAAGCTAGTGGAGATTCTGCCAAAGTTTCATCAATCATTCCTGTGGAATTCTGAAGGAAGTAGCTCTTTATTTAATAAGCAATCCAGTACTCGACTCATTTTGTTTTTATACTTTGTGAAAAGGCTTTTGTCGATTTCTACTATTTTGTTAGGCCCTCTGATTTTACTGCAAGCTCTGTTTAAGACGCTATGATTACAAACTTACTACATGTAATCATTCCAATCTATTACTGTTTTGTTGATTATATTCAGCTGACTGATGCATGTCGATTAATATATTGTTAACACACGTCCATTAATACAATTTCTTTTATTTCACTGCTTATTGTTCTGTAAAAGGTAGCTTCCAAACTGTAATCATTTTGCCCCAAAAAATGAAAGGAAAAAATAGAGCAATAACAGTGAATTTATATCCTTGTTCATAAAAACAAAAGGATGCTAATCAAGAATCAATCAAAGTTACATCAAACGAGAGTGCAGATGTTGTTAACCATGTTGTTAAATCATGCTACTTGGTGACAGTTTCACAATAAATGGGATAATACATAAGTTCCAATAATATCATTTCTTTTCATAGTGCTTTCAGTATTATTATTTGGAAAAAAAAAAAAAAAAAAAAAAACTCACTGACATGATTTAACGCATGGGGGCGAGGAAGAAGATGCATATAACCGACTTTTTCGGCATGAAAAATCGGTACTTTCTGATTATCCACAACGTTCCCATGAAAAGTCATAAACTCATTGCCAACTACTTTTTTTGCCAAGTAATATGCAGAATGCAATAGCCATTTTAAAATTGGCATCACATTCAGAATTTCATAAAGAGCAATCAAACAATTAAATTTAAAAAAGCAAGAAACTTCTACAATTATAACATTTATCTTTTTCAAGAAATCCTTATGCAATTGTTATTATGTCTGTGATAAAAATCCATATACGCAGCGATCTGCTTTTGCTTAAACAAACATCCACAAACTGCATAAATTTGGTACTATTATTCTCCCAGTAGACACAGCAATATTTTCTTGCTTTTTTAAAAAATTACCAAATCTTTGTATTAGCAAAATTAGGTTAAATGTAATTTTTGTTTTTAACAGCGAGGTGCCATATTTTTGAAGAAATGCAATGCTTTCTTTTTCATCAGTGGGCAATCTTCATAGTCCCATTACAATCTCAGAAGGGAAAAAAAATGTGCTGAATGAAAAAAACATATACTAATCGGAAAACTAAGTCAACTGTGGAAGGTGGAAATCTAAGTGTGCTGAAATGCACATCTGCTGCGTGCATACCTGGCTTACCACATAACTATTCTGGAGAAACAATGTGTTGCTTCGGGAATACCTTTCAGGGAGTGCAGACGATCAGAAAGCACCAAAAAGCTAAAAATTCATGTAAATTATATTACCTTATTTTAAATGCTATATTATAAATTATTCATTTGAAAGACCTGAAGAGCTAATTTTTTAAAGTATCTGGTACTGTTCTGTTACCAGGACAGGATTCAGAAATTTATGGATGAGTGTGTTAATGTATGCATGTATATATGTAATTACAAATGTGTATGTGTATATACATATAATGTACATACATACACACATACATTGCTGAATCCAGTCCCGATAACAAAACAGTACCCAGTATTTCCATATTAACTACAAATGACAGAGCAACTTTTAAATAATTTATGTTTTTTAATCTTCAACATTCATTCATAGATAATTGTGATCACTGTTTTCTAGCTCTACCAATCTGATCATTGGCAGGCCTACAAGTGAGTGTAATAAAGTGTTCATAAGGCCAAGCAGCATGTTGGCAAAATAGTTATGTGGCAACCCATGATGTCACCAAAAGATATTTATGTGACAACCCAGGTGTCAACGTGGCACATGTTTGTTTTGACTTCTGTACTAAGAAGATGTATACAGCTGTGTTTGTTGAGTGCCGTGCTTAGTTCTCTGATGTTTCTTTAAGCAAAAACAGATTACTGAATATATGGAGCACAAAAAAAGAATTCTTAAAAAAGGCAAGTGTTTTATTACCGTTATTTTATCCTTTTTTAATGTTACTGATTGATTGCTTTTATATGAAATTCTTTGCCCAATATAATTTTGAAAATGGTTGTTTGTTTGCCATGTAAGCTTGCAAAAAATCTGTTACCAATAAAGTTTGCAATGCTTCACCAAATCACCAACAAGTGCATGACATTTAGGTGTGATGTGTAGATAAAAGTGCCTAGTGTTAGTGCATTATAAATAAATAAAAGTACTGTGATAATTTTAAGTATTCAATGTACTAAAAAATAAGAAAAATTCATCAAAACTAAAATCAGTGTTTCTTAAATACTGAAATTTCAATTAAAGAAATTTTTTTTTTTTCAGTTTCAGATTTTTGATTGTTAAGCATCAAGAACATTTTATGTTCATCTTTATTTAGTGAATACAGAATTGGTTACACATTTGATTTGGCCGAAAACATTTTAACAAAGGACTATTAATGTTTTGTACAGCAGAAAGAATAAACAGAACTTTTCCTAACAAAGCTGGGAAACTTCAAAATACTTTTGGGAAGTGGCAAATTATACAATGCAAGACTGATAACAATGTTAGATACACTCATCTAAAAATTTACATTATTCACATTTGACAATCATTGACATGTATACTCTAAAGCAGTAGTTGAGGCATTACCTTTCTTTCCAGAATTTAACCAGAACTTCTCTAACACTGGATTAATTTGATCAGTCTGAAGAAATGTAGCTGAAATAAACATATCAGACATTAAAATACTGAAATAAGCTAGACAGACAGATCAGAGTTCGTACACATTTCTAGATGTAAAATTTAGAGGATTTAATTTAATTTTTAAGGAATTTTAACAGCCAGTAATGAAAAAAATTAAGGACCTATCAGCAAAGAAAACTGAATAAACTAAATTATTTATAACTCAATTTCATTTCTGCAATACCATTCTAAGAATAAAATAAATCTCTGAGTAGGATATATTATTGTAGGCCCGGTGGCACAGTGGCTAGCGCATCGTGCAACAGCATCACAGGTCCAGGGTTCAATCCCCGGGCTGGGCAAGGTCAACTCAGCCTTTCGTTCTTTGATTTCCATCTCTTGGGTCGATAAAATGAGTACAGGTAGAGTAGACTTTAAGGTACTCCTTGTATTATGGCAAAGTTGTTGTTTCATTTATGGTAGCCTGAGTAGTTGAATGTTATGGAAACCCTATTGTGACATAATTGGGTGCATGATTCTGGGAAATTTTGAATCATGGGATGTTTTGTAAACGTTTTTGTGGTGTGTGTTAAAACCGTAGATGGATTTGAATGGGTTTGTAGGAAGAAAGGTTCAGATGGTCACTATGTGAAGTGTTCGATCAGAAAGAATACCTAGTTTGAAAAAAGTCATTTGAGTATGATTGATATTTTGACTTTTATGGGGCTCTGGGTGTACGAAGCAAACTCGAAAATCATAGTAAAAGAATATTTGCTTTTGGTAGTGCTTAAATGTAAAACATGTTTTTCCCTTTTTATGTTATATTATTGTTTGGTTTAAAATGTATTTTATTGAGATTATGTATTTTTCGTTTGCCTATATTGTAGACTTTGGTGCTCCTTTGACTTTTTAAGTGAAAATATATCGATGTGCACATGGACAAAGTAAAGGGAGTGTGCAATGCAAGTTTGTGCAATTCTGGAATTTTTTTTTAACTGAAAATAGGTCAACGTGTACATGGACAAATTTAAAAGAGTGCGCAATGCCATTTTTGTGCAATTCGCAGATTTTTTTTTTTAAGTGAAAATAGGTCGATGTGTACATGGATAAAGTCAAAGGAGTGTGCAATGCCATTTTTGAATTCGGGGGGGGGGGGGGGGGGTTAAGTGAAAATAAGTCGATGTGTACATGGATACCAAGTTTGTGCAATTGTTTGTCTTGTTATTTGTTATTTTGGCATTGTGTAGCGGCGATTTTTGGTGCAAAAATTTTGCCTTCGCAAGCCAAAATATCGATTAAAAAAATTGCACAAAATCTGTATCCATGTACCGTCAAAAATCGCCAAGGGGTACCCTAAACTATACTTTTACCAATGAGTACAGTACAAAGTCTTTAATCCGTACTTCGGCCATTCCGGATTATAGATCATCTATTTAAATCTGGTAAGATGGCATGCGGAAATTATAAAATTAAAAATAAAAAACCGTAATTTATGAAATAAAGAGCAATTATGATCTAAAGGGTATCAAAATTTACAAAAAAAAAAAAAAAAAAAAAAAAAAACAGCTTAATATTTATTTGTTTACTTTATTAAACATTTCTTTCAATGTAAGTTGTTTCATTTTATGTGCTAATACTTTCTCTTTAATTCTATAAACAGACATAATTTCTTGTTCAGTTACAAAGTTCCAATGTTCATGTCCCGTAATTGCTGTGCCAAGAATACCGACTAACTTGTCAATCGAAATTTTTTCGTTTTCACTAACCTCTCTGTCACTTTCTTCATACCTTTATCCATTTTTTGCAGCAATTCCACTTTTTGTTTGATGGACATCAAAAAAACTTATTTTTATACAGCTGTTCTTCTGCAATGTTCCTAATAATATTTTCATTAGCTTACATAAAATTTTAAAAAGATAAAAGTTTTACCAAAGAGCATGCATATTCATAATAAAATGTTCAACTTCAGATGCATGTAATCTTGTATTTGGTGTTATTATTCAGCCTGACAAAGATATAATTGATAACTTGAGACTACTTTATTCACTACTTTGAAATAACTTCTTTTTACAATTTCATGGCTTATCTCTAAACTGCTAAATAAGACATAATATGCATCCCATAATACCAACAGAAATCTTAAACTGGCTTTTGTATGCACAGAATTTAGCATGAGTTAAAATATACATGTGACTGTAAGTGGATTAGCCCACAGATATAAAAATTAAAGAACAAATACAACAAAAGATTTTTAAAAAATTAAAAGCAGTAAAGTACTTATTAGGATTTAATCTTTTCTTACTTCATTTAAATATCCCCACATAATTATTTCATACATAACAAATATTCACAATACACATTTTACATATAATTCTCTACTAACAAACATGATAAATATTAAACTAAAATTTACATATTTAGAATTTCCATAAAACTAAGTTTCCCAGTTCTCAGCTTTTCAATGACATAAAATTTTTATTGATTAATTAAACTAAAAAATTACAGTCTTAAAATGTTAAAGGCAGATTATAATTTCAAGAATTAAAATAAGATATATCTTACCATCATTAACAAGAGGAGTTAATCCGTATGGAGTTCTTGGTGAACATAGCAACCCATTTGGAGACTTAGGGTTGAAGTGCTCCTCAATATGCGATGCTAATTCCAAACTATATTCAAAATTAGAACAACCGCATACAGGACAACAATCGTTGGAATTTTCGTCACCTGGTGTGGCTTGAGTTGATTTTGCTGGGCTAAGAACATCATTGTGATCAACATTTACATGCAACTCAACATCACGACTGGAATCAAAATTTCTGTCACACAGTGGGCAAAGGAAAGGACTACTACCATTATTACTCAAAAATTCTGGAAAAGATGGGCTTGTGAGATCAAAATGTTGCCTGTTGACATGTTCTTGGAGTTTGGTTGGAGATTTATTAGAATAATCACATAAAGGGCAAACAGAATGATCATTTCCTCTTGGGCTTATTAATTCCTTTTTAAGTCTACCAGGATTTAAATTAAGAGATAAATTAGCTCGTTGAGGCGAACTTTCAGAAGCTGATGCATAATTGTCAGGTAAGCCATTGCTGCATAAAGAAACATCGTCCATAGAGTCGCTGGAAGAAACAGTGAACGGAATATTATCTTCAGTGGGACTCAGAAAAGTTAAATGAGTAGAATTAACATGATACACCATTTCATCGGCAGTTATATCACCCAAGTCACAAAATGGGCATGATAAAGCGCCATCGATGTGAGCGACTAATGTGTGAGATCGCATTTCTTGCTCAGAATGCACTTCTTCACCACACAAGTCACAACAATATATCAGTTCGGGATGTTTAGCAGCCATCTTCAAAAATATTTCCTATAGCAGACGATACTTTATATATTTACAGTTTATAATTTCTTAAAGCTAGATGATGCATTGAATTCTAGAGAAATATAACATAAATGTAACATTTTGCATGTAGTTCTTGAAATTTTTAAAGGCGAAATACAATTCGTATTATGCCCTTCGAGAAAATTTCGGTTCATATTCAGTTCTAAACAACTATAAACCATTTAACAGATTTTAAACTTTATTACGTTATCCTTATACTTTTTAGCGATAAAATTAACCTAACAGTTCAAGCAGCATAATTAAAGGGACAAAAAATATCACCGGTTCTAAAATAAAAAAACTTCAACCGCACGCCCTTAAGCGTAAGGAGAAATTTACTCAGCTTGACACAAATCAAGGACGTTATGGCACAAACACTTTATTGAGGCTCTGTCAGCTACAAACATTCTTCTTAGAAGAAAATTTAAAAAACTAATAATAAAATTCTCAGTTACTTATTGCTTTGATCTATAAATCAATTTAGTAAGTCTAAAAATAATCATGCAATAAATTAGCATGAGAATTCTAAGTTTTTCGGAAAATGGTCTTTATATGCCAGAAAAGTAGTTTCACTGTGACTGGAAAAAAAAAAAAAAAAAAAAGCAGAAAATATTTTTTTTTATTAGTTTAGTGTCTGCTCTTATACGTCTGATGTGAAGGTGATGAGGTGTTGAAATGCTAGATTAAGAATAAGTTCTTTGAAAACTCCTTTTTGATGTTAATTTTGAATTATTAATTTTGTCCATACTATGATTCCGTGGTCTTCGATGATAAATAAACCAGCTGAAGGAGCCCTTTCTAAAGTCTAAGGTAATTCTATATATCTGAGCATGAATTGCATGTTTCAGTAAGCGCTACTTAATTATAACGATGACGGATTATATTTTACTTTTCCGCATGAATATTTATGATAATGGTTTATATATTAGGGGACATCGGGTTCATTTACAGTCAAGAGGAAGGTATCTAATTTTGCATAATACTAATAAATTAATTTTTTGAGTGTCATGTCAGTTATTGGTATTCAGAATGAGAATTCCTACAAATTGGAAAGTTGGCATATTCTGTTCTTGGTATTTTGATCACAGATATTTCCTAGGTATTGTATTTTAATTTTGAGGATGATGTGTAGAATGTCACGAAGTGTCAGAATCAGCTAAACTCATGCAATTGAATAAGAGCATTTTACCAAATCTTCTGAAGTTTCTTTATTAATTCTATAAATTATTAATAGAAAATATCAAAAAACTTTTAAGATGTATTTTTTGGATTACAAATTTATGACTTCGATTAGCAATATCAGTGTGCATTTTGTTTTTCTGAATCATCAGCAATTTTTCATGCACCTTCTCTAAGTTCTAAAAGACATTTAGTATGATTTTAAACATTTTTTGGCAAAAAATTGTAATAATTTTCTTTTTTTTTAATTTTTCAAAATAATAGATGTTCAAAATTGATTTACAAAATAATTTTAGGAAAGAAATCTTTTGTGTAGAGTTTATATACCGTTTACATAGAGCTTTCTATAGAGTTTCATATTCCTTGCAAATTGCTTTGTGTTATTACCTTTTGAGAATGTTTTGCAGATGAAACTTAAATGTCGTTTTACTTCCTTGTACGAAGTAAAAGGAGTACTGTTGTCGCGAAAAGTTTCCTTACCCCGCTTTTATTTTTGCAAACATTGGTTACACCCATGTACATCTAATTATACAGAAATGTTTTAAATTACAAAAATATATATGGCCTCGCAGTGTTAAGTTTAAAAAAAAAAAAAAAATTGGACAAATAGTGAAATCTTAATTTTTAATATGGTCTCCCATTTCGTAAACTTATGTTTGGGAAAGTTTTATATTCATTATGAAAAAATAAAAATATAAGAAGTTTGACTATGGCAAAAATTAATCGGGATATTTAATTTAAAAATTTGCATTTGATGTCATTTTCAACTTTCCTTGAGGGATCAGTAATTAAGTTAGAAGAATTTGAGGAAATAAATTTAAATAAAGTGCAACTAAAAAAGTATATAATTTAATAAATTGTACAAGGAAGTCATATGGTGTTCACATCCGATATTTTTTATAATTAGTCCAAAGGGGGGGGGCAATTTGCCCTTGAAGGACTATCATTTTTGTTTTGGTAATTTGCATCGATTCACTTTAAATGTCTGATTCACTTTTGAAATTGTTGCCACCAAATATGATCGCCATGTATTGTATTTAAAAAAATTAAATAATGAAGAATCTGCATAATTGTATGTATGTTTCTTTGCATTGTGATAAAACAACGGTACCTAGAGCCATCCAGTTTTGAATAACTACGTTTCCACCCGAATATGGGCATCTGGTAGCCCAAATTTGAAAATTTTTATTATCTATTTCATATTTTGTAAAACTTTAATGAAATTTCGATGAATAAACTTGACGATTTAAAAGCGAGCAATGGCAACACTCTGTGGGGCAAAAAACCCTTTTTATCTTCAGTGCGCGGAACTGTGTATCGGAAATTCTAATGATACGCTCATTTGAAAATTATTTTGCAATATTGCTCTTGAACTGAATTTTATGGTTTAAGTGGGAAGAACATGATACTTAATAAATGAAGGAAATGCACAAAACATTAAAACAATGCCCCTTTGGACATAATTGAAAATCTGAAACCCCTCAGATTATTATTATTATTATTTTAATCTGAACAGGGTGCTGCATTGTAGAATGATTTAAAGTAGGTTTCTTCCCCCCTTACTGTTAGTTTGAATCCTGCTAATGAGCTGGCTGCATGGGCATTTTTATGGTTTTCCTCTCGTGTAACATGTATACGAGCCGGTTCCTGTAGAAAGCCCATGAAGGCATCCCTCCTCTTAGGCAGACAGCCCTCAAGGCTTTGCCATAATCAAATAAACTAAAAACTTGAAGTAGTTTTATTGTAATGTGATTTTGTTATTTTTATTAACTAGAAGTACAGTGTTATTTATATTCATGTCAGACTGTACTGTATATGTTAAATTTTTACCTTAGTAGTAAAGTAAGCAAGGAAATAGTTCCAAGAAATAAAATTGTAAGATGTTATATCTGTAGAGTTGCAGGCTGTTTATATCATTGCTTTAGATAGTCTGTTTACAAGATAATCTGTCTGTCAACACCTGCAGATCACATAAATTTGTTGATATTATAGAAGTATTAAAAGGTCAGTTATCTATTACTTTTTTACTTTACAGAAAGCTTGAGAAATGCCAGATGCCGAATACTTGAAAATTCTAGACAGTTGAGCTTATAAAAAATACGCTTCATGGTAGAAAAACAAAATGAATGGAAGAAGTTTCTGGTCTACACTTATAAAATTATTCGCTGTAATTTTAAATTGAAAGCTTTCTCTTAAAATTATGTAAGACATTTAATATATGAAAGTGAAACCAATTATAAATTTTTGTCTTTCATATAAGTTGGTGAAGGTAGTGCCAAACTTGCACCAATCATTTCAATTAAAGTAACATGCCATGCCTATTAATGTACACTTTTCTTGATGCCGGGATCATGTAACTTCGGAAATACTCTGGTGCATGTGTTTCATGAAAGACAGGTCTCGCATTTCAATCATTTTTTCAAAATATGAGAGAACATTATAAATACAATCAAAAGTCGTTAATTCGGACACCCATAATCCGGAATGATCTATAATCTGGACCTCAAAGCTAAAATCTTTCTGCGCATGTGCCGCGTTGACACATGCGCATAGGCGTTTACGCGTGCGCGCAAGACCTTTACGACTGCATATATGCGTTTGCGCAAGCGCAGAATACGTTTTCGCGTGCGCGTTTAATGTATAACGGACGGTATAAGCTAAAATTATCTAATTATCTATTTCAGTTAATGTTGATGATTGCGTTGTTCCTTAATCTTCGAATTGGATCCGGCTTATTATTTTTTGCAGACTGTAAGAGCAATTTTATAAAAGCTTGAACTTTCAATTGTGTCAAATAGAATTTCCGATGCTGGAGCTCCCAAAGGATCTACAAAACAAAAGTATGTTTCGATGTCCATCAAACAAAAAGTGGAATTGCTACAAAAAATGGATAAAGGCATATCCTTTGTTTATCTAACCGTTCCGAATCGTTTTTATCAATTTCACACTGCTCTGCGCTGGGTGGGGGGGGGGGACGTCGTGGCACGCAATGAACTGGAAGTTGATCTGTCAGCACTATCCTTATCTTCAGGGCAGATGTTTTTATTTTATTCGGCTTATAATTCCTTACTAAATGTAGTATTTCATCTCTATGTACTCTGTCTTTGATATGATTTAAATCAAATTTCTCGTTATTATAAATATCACGAATACAAATCAAATAGTTTTGTGGTTGCAATTTTCTAATTTCGGCTATGCGTAATGTATGCTTTACGCATGCACGCGTTGAAAGAAATGTTTAATAAAGTAAACAAATAAATATTAAGCTTCTTTTTTTGTAAATTTTGATACCCTTTAGATCATAATTGCTCATTATTTTATAAATTACGGTTTCATATTTTTAATTTTATAATTTCTTCATGCCATCTTACCAGATTTAAACTGATGATCTATAATCCGGAAAAATCGATAATCCGGAATCGCCGAAGTCCCGACGAGTCCGGATTAAAGACTTTTGATTGTAGTTATTTCCTGATATTTTTCTTCATAAAAACTAAACCTGTTCATTAAGATTTAATTAATTGGATTTACATAAAACCATAGCAGAGGTGTTATGACTATGTGGGTCATCACACATTATTGCCACTAAATTGCACTGTCTGATGCACTGTTTTTGTTTGTCGAAAACAACTACATAAAAAACATGCCTTTGACAAGTATAGAGTTGCAAAGGTGAATTCATGAAATATACACCGAATGCAATGATTGGGGAAGCATCTTCTGAAAAGAATAATGAAATTGTATTCACATTATATATGTTAGAAGCAGGGTTCTGTAAGTTGTAGTAGTTCAAAATTTGCTTTATTATGTCTTTACATGTTTGTCATTTCCATAATTTTTTTTAAAAGTGATTTTAAAATGTGCAATTATTTGAATATCCAATTATTGAGTTTTTACTATATTACTAACAATAGTCACCAATAATGTTATAACAACTGAAATGTAAGAAATTTGTATATGTTGGCAGTTGTCAATCAATCGTACTGTTTTATGTAATAAAGTGAATTTTCTTTGGTTCCCAGGAGCTTTGTAGAGCTAATGCAATTCTACAGTCCTTGAATCATATTCCTTTTGAAATTGGTATTTTCTTATCTTTTTTTTTTTTTGTGTGTGTGTGTGTGTTGCATCACCATTGTTTATCCTTTTTCACATAAAGTACCAAATCATGTATATTAATGTGCTTTTTTTTTAAGGTAAAGATAGTACAGTCAAAAGTCGTTAATTCGGACACCCATAATTCGGAATGATCTATAATCCGGACCTCAAAACTAAAAACTTTCTGCGCATGCGCCGCGTTGACACATGCGCATAGGCGTTTACGCGTGCGCGTAAGACCTTTTACGACTGCGCATATGAGTGTGCGCAAGTGCAGAATACGTTTTCGCTTGCGCTTTTTATGTATAATGGACGTATAAGCTAAAATTATCTAATTATCTATTTCAGTTAATGTTGATGATTGCGTGGTTCCTTAATTTTAGAATTGGATCCGGCTTATTATTTTTTGCAGACTGTAAGAGCAGTTTTATAAAAGTAGCTTAAACTTTCGATTATATCAAATAGAATTTCCGATATATATTTGTTAATATGTAAAGGATCTAAAGCGAAAGTATGTTTTGAAATCCGAAATCTGT